TGATTAGCCTTGCGTTCGCTACGATAATCCTTAGAAAACAAACTAACTCAAACAGTGATCAATTGTCTAATTTAATTTAATTCACTAGATTATTTATTCGGGTTAATTTAGACTTGTAATAGCTAACTAAATTGGTCCTTTAGTTAACCTCTTGCTGATGGTCATCAAACAAGCTCACACATGAATTTACCTAATTTTTCTTATTAATTCTAGTTTCACGTTCGTTAGTCCTAGACATATGATAAAGTGGTCACATAAACATATGGGGTTGATAATTAAAAGATGTTCATACTATTTAATTATCTTCCTATTAACAGAAAATTAGTTATCATTCACACACAAGGTTCTTTAACAAGCTAAAATTAACAAAATCACCAATATTTAATTAATCCTACCATTAATCAAACCATAATATCAATTTTGTATCCCCAAACAGAAGTTTAAGAGTTTTAGCTCATGATTGAGGTAATTAACAGCAATAAAACGAATTCTAATTGTCTAACCATAATTGAGAAACAATAGATTAAGTAGAATGATGAGAATGTGCCTCAAATATTCTTCGGAATTGGATTCTAGGTTGTATCTTCGTTCTATAGGGTTCTTCTGGCTCTTCAATCGCAGCTTGCTTCTCCCCAAAGGTTCCAGTCGTCCTTCAATCGGATTAAGACCCGCTATTTATAATTATCACAAAACAGGGGCTACTCGGCGAGTAGGTCGTGGACTCGCCGAGTACTAGTGTGAAATCCATGTTCGGTAAGGAATCTTGACTTTTCTTTCGGGAACATTCTAATGAACTCGCCGAGTACATGCGTGGACTCGCCGAGTAGGTGTGTAGTTTTCCCTTTTTCTTCATTCTTTGGTCTCTAATTGCTTCTCCTTTTTTTTCCTTTCTGCTTCCAAGCATGTCTTTTGGACTGAAAACACAATATAAGCATTATTAAGTACCTTTTGTCCATATGATGCATATAATTAGCCAAAAATGAATACAAATATATGTTAAACATATGATTAATTATGCACATATCAGATCCCAAATCCCAAGTACTCTACTCTCACTATGCATAGGCTACTCTCTAGCAGACCTCTCATAAGCTCCTCGCTGCTATCTACTCACTCTCAAGCATCTCCCAGCAGCAAAACCCCTAGGCTAAGGCATCACGAATCAGGCCACTCTAGTCCTAATATGAATACCTAGCCTACTCTAGCATGCATAACATATCATATCATATCTTATAACACATAATATAAGGGTATTTGGGAAATCATCGTTCGGGCGCTGGCTGATCGTACACACTACTCTGCTCTGCTCTTTTCAAAACCTTTTATTCCTTTAGAAAAATTTTGTTTTATTTCGAAAAGTTTCTCAAATCCTCAGTTTGAGTTCAAATGCGCCTGAAGGTGCATCCGAATCCCTCAAAACCAAGGCTCTAATACCAACTTGTAACATCTCAAATTCCAAATAAATTTTTCACTTGTAAAAATATAATTTCATTCATAAATATTATCAATCTCCATGTATCACATATCAAATCCATAAAATTTATCCCAATATCACAATACATGAAAACTCCACAAGTGTGTATTGATCATGCCGACGCCTTCTCGCGATCCTCACCGGTACCTGAAACACATAACACAAAACACTATAAGCATAAATGCTTAGTGAGTTCCCCAAAATACCACATATAACACATACTAGCCACTCGAGGCTATAACTCTGTGGGCCCCCCTGGCCCTAACTCTGTGGACCCTCTGGTCCTAACTCTGTGGACCTTCCGGTCCTCACTCTGTAAACTCTGGAATACACACAGCACAATCACATAGAAATAATGTAGTGCAACGCATCACATACATAGCACACAAGATACTCTGTCACATAACTCTACTTACCACTCAAGGTAAAGTATAGTAAGAAGACTCACCTCGGATAGCTCGGTAAACCTCGAACTCGGAAATACTGATCTAGCCTTCGCCTAATCACATAAAATAATTATTCTAATTAATATGATTTTCAAAGACTAGGCTAATCCCTCTCTAGGTTCTCTAAGAAGGGTAAAAGACCATTCTACCCCTCCAATGGCTCACAAGTCCAAACATTGACTCAACCCTAAAAGTCAACGAAGTCAACTCTAGTCAACGGTCAAACTTTGACCAGACTCGTCGAGTGCATCCGGGCGACTCGGCGAGTCCACGCGGGTCCTTTTAATCCTTCTAAGCCTCGCTTGGCACTTCGAGTCCCTCCTCCACTCGTCGGGTTTCTCTGCAACGAATCGCAGGGCAACCCCGACTCGACTTGTCGAGTCCGCTTATGAACTCGGCGAGTTGCTCCCATGACAACACTCAAATGACCTTCTGAGGTCAGATCTACCTCTCAAAACTATAGATCTGACTTCCCCACGACCAATAACCGCGTAAAGGTCGAATCTTGACTCACATGCAACGCTCCCAAGGCTTCTTTTGGTGAAATAACTACTAAAATGGCCACCTAGGCTCATAACCTCAAAGGAATGGCATAAAGCAGAGTGATAGGGGCTCTCTGGACCTCTTAAGGTCCAGATCTAAGAATCATTTCACCTTGGGACCTCACACACTCCAGATTCAAGCTAAATAATGCATAAAGAAACCCTAGATTCAACTAAATCATCATAATTACGAGAATAAGCACAAATTGATACCTCCAACAGCTTCCTCTGATCAAATGGAAGTAGATCCAAGCTCCCCAACCCGCCTAGCTTGTCCTTCCTCCTTCCTTCTTGCTAAAACACACAAGAAATGGTGAACAATGGCCTCCTTTCTCACTCACAAGACTCACAGATGCTCTGGTACTCTCAAAGACGAAGGTAGCCGCAAATAAGGGCAATAAGGTCCTTTAAATAGGGTGCAGGCCTGGGGATTTAGGGTTTCAGCCCACAGCGCGGACTCGTCGAGTCCATTCATTAATCCAGTCAGCAATCGCAATCCTACTCGACGAGTCTAAGCGTCAACTCGTCGAGTCCCTCTCTTTAACTCAAAATAAATGATCAAAACATAATACCTGGAAATCCGGATGTTACACTGAATTTGTAGCCTTAGATAAAGCTGTTGAAGAAGCTGAATGGCTTCAAGGATTTTTACAAGGTATTCCTTGGGTGACGAAACCTGTCTCTGCAATTTGTCTTCATTGTGATAATATAGCGGCTATTACAAGAGCCAAGAATCAAATATATAATGGCAAATGAAGACATATCAGACGGCGTCATAAATCCATTCGTGACTTGCTAAAAGATGGAGTTATTTCCATTGATTATGTAAAGTCAAAGGAAAATATTGCTGATCCTTTGACAAAGGGCCTAAATCGAGAGCAAGTTTTGTTTACATCGAGGGGAATGGGCTTAAAGCCAACACAATGAGTTATCACTTGGCGGCAACCTAACCTAGGAACATTGGAGATCCCATGGTCTAGGTTCAATAGGCAAACTAGTTGAGGAAAACTCAAGTCAGTACACACAGGTATATAAGCTTGTTCCTATGATGATTTATGTGTGTTTCAATAGATGTTTTTAGGGCTGATTTTATTCTTAATGATGTTGATAGCTTACTAGTGGAAGCTTGTGGAATTTTCCAGATTAGCATCACCTATATGAGATTGATGTGCGGTCGCATCTATGAAGATAATTCTGGCTACATCTTCTAAAGATCTCATGAAGTAGGATTTGTTCAAGACCGAAATGAACACAACCGTAAGAATTGAAATATGTTTAGATATGATATGTGTGATATGTATTGTTTAGATTACTATTTCATGTGGTAGTTCAAGACTTTAGTCACTATCCACTAAGTAATTCCGATATGTACTCACTATGAAAAGTTCAAGTTCAAAGGACACTTTTTCTTATGCATCTTATATCTTGTTTTATGGAATTATATTGCTTATTTTTTATTCAAATGTGGGGGATTGTCTTCCGTTTGAATCAAAAATGTGGGGGATTGTTGGTGTTTATATAATTTTGTCAAGTTTTTTATCCCACATAGGAAGGAACATCAAACTTTGGGATGTTTAAAATGTTTGCTCTCTTAGTTCTACTACAATGTACTAAGAGCTTAAGATGGACTAGTGTGAGGTTGTGGGCTTTGAATTACTAGTGGATTACTAGTAATTTAATTATATATTAAATGGTCAAAAGATGGCCTTGGGCCTTGGGGGGTCTTATGAGATAAATCCGAAATTATTTTTATTTATTATTATTTTTTTAATTTCGGTTTTATTAGGATAAGATTAGTTTTGAGAAGTTATCAAAACTGAATTTTGACACTTTAATGTCGATCCTATTTAAAGGAGTCAAATCTAATTTGCCGGGACTCTTGGATGAACGACAAAAAACAAACTTTTCCCTCTCTAAATAATTCCATGGACGCATAAGAACTTGATTGAAGATAGTTGTATCCTCTATTCAGACGTCCATATACTATTGCACTAATAGGGACGAATTTCTGTTTTAGGACATTGCTTTGCAAGCCTCTATCTTGTATTCAATCTGTAATGTTCATCTGTAAGTTTCTTGTTTATGTTTATTGATAGTGTCTCAATTTGATTTCTGTAATATATATATTCATATTTATACTGTTGGTTTACACAAGTTCTAACACTGATCATGTGTCATATACATTAAAAAACGGTTAAACAGGTCCATAATTCATCTTAAAGTATATAAACTGATTCCAGTATCCTGGATTGTTTCATTTAGAAAAAAATAGATTTGTAATTTAATAATCATATGACATCATAAACTATTAACGAAATTCTTAAAATGAGTAACCATAGAAGCATCATCCGATCAACCCGACTCATTTGATTCACCTTTGAAATTACCCATTTTAACCGGAACACATGTTGACTATATCTGTCGTGCAAACTTTATTTTTAAACAATTGATCCTAGTAATAAAAAATCAATGCAACTAGCAATGTTATATACTTCTATTTTTGAATTATTATGAATCTTGGTAAACGGATAACAAATTTTATGGCAGAGAAGTCGTAGAAAAAGTCTCTGCCTCCTCCGTCCAATCAGAGTTCGGTTCACTCCATGACCGTGGCCGGAGACCAAGCTTGAAGAACACCACCATTTCCAGCGCCTCAAACACCTTATGCTCATCCAAAATCTTGTTCCAAACCCCACTCACAATGCAGTAATTGTTGTTATAAGGTGGCCGGTGGTGGGCGGCGTGTTGTGATCGGGATACCAACACTCCCGCATCTTGCAGCACCACCACTACTGGCGGCAGCTTGCTTTTAGTTCCATGAGCCCAAGAATGGAACAACTGGCTAAACATGATGCATCCACTAGCCATCCCCACAAACCCCATCACCACCGGTTGATCATGACCGATCAAATCAATCGGTAGCACTGTATACGTTATAACACGCGCTAACGCATGTAAGTTATTCGCAAACTCACGTTTGGTAATTGTCCAGGGCCATTTATGGTGGCCTTGAAACGCGTCAATTTGCGAACCAAACATTGGAGTTGAGGCATCTCCATAATTATCAATGCCCCAATGGTATACACCGGATCCAAGGTCTGCAAACAAGTATCCGATGAATCCAGACAAGATGGGTTCGAGCCATATGTGTGAGTCGATTGATCCGATGATGGAATTGGCTAGAGAAATGAGTACTGTTGTGCAACCGGTGGCCACCCATGCACGGTGAGCCCAAGTCGATTTGAGGCTTGGGTCATCGATTTTGGGTGGAGTAACTGTAACGAGTGGTGTTGTGTTGATGACAAGTGGTTCGAGTTTCGGCCTAGTCTTTATTCGAGTTGTTGAAGTGCAATAGACACGGTGGTTGTGATGGTGGTGGTGTTGGCGGCCTAAGGCAGCAGCATGGTGGATGATGTGGTGGTGCTGAGGTAAGATGGACATATCGTGGTTTGAGTTGGGGGTGGCTAGGTGGGTGGGGGGAAGGGTATATGTAGATTGCAGTGGAAGAGTGGCTACTGTTGGGTCTACGTGGGTTTATGAGTGTCGCTAAAGAGTTGAGTAAATGTGTTGAGGATGTGTGGTACAGAACACATGTTCATGGTTTATCACATATTTATTTTATGGACAAGAAAATAGGCGACACAAAAGGGTCGCAAAGAAATTCGTATAGGATTGTTCTAACCAACGTCGATTTCACTCAACTTGTATGTAAAATGAGTTGATTTTATTAGTATTTTTTATATCTAAAATAGTTAAATTGAAAATTGTAGCTAACAAATAATGGGTAAAGACTGGGTGAGTCAACTCTCTTAAAATATAACTGGGATGCCTATAATTACCTAAGGCCGGTGGGTATGGAGCAGGAAATGAGTGAGGGAAAGATTCCCGCACCCCGGAACACCATATCGGGGCTACGGGAAAGAGGTGCGGGAAAAAGGTGAGGGGAGACTATCCCTCACTCTCACTTATCATGTGATTGGTCAGTTTTTTTTTAGTTTATATATATATATATATATATATATATATATATATATATATATTAAAAAATTATAGAAAATATATTAAAATTTATGGTTTTTAATTGCCTACAAAACGAGTATAATATTTGTATACAATATTTTTCGAAAAATTAAAGATAATGAAATGTAGTGACAGGTGACAATTTCCTGTCTTTTTGTAAGTGAAATGAGAGTGAGAGAAAAATTGACGTGACACTAAAAAATTAAAAGATTTTTCTTGACCATACCCTATGGTCTAATTGGTGTGAGCGGGATCCAAGCTGGCACCTCGTGCCTCCATCGGAACACTACGCTAGCCATTGTGGTGTCATTGATTCGTGGGGCGTGTTAGGCAACAAGCGTTTGGGAACATTTGAGAGCTTCTAGCGTTTAACAAAACGCTCCGTTTTGAACTGAAAACATTGTTTTGCACTACAAGTTTCTAACGTTTAGTTTAAACAAAATGCTCTAAATCTAAATGTTACTTCGCATAGCGTTTAACAAAATGCTACCCGTTATAAGGTACCCGTTACCGACTAGTTTTGCTGAATATGCTCTTGGACTTGTAGCTTTAGGCGTAATTTTTTTGAGCGGTTAAACACATTTTCATGCAACCAACTTTTGACCAAATTTTCTATTTGATGTCATTTAAACCGTTTTTTATTTAACTATTTTTTTTATATATTACCTACGATCTTTAACCTATTTAATTAAATAGAAAAGACATGAAGACGAAGAAAAAAAAAGCTCATGTCCACATTTACTATTGGGTAAAAGTGTTTGTAGATGTTTATAGTATATAAATGAGAAGGTGCAAAGTAATACAGTATGTAGATTCACGCTTGCACATCGATCGATAGCAAAATCTTTCAGGTTTGATTGATATTATCAAAGTCGAAAGATTTAATTCAAAGTCTTTTTTTCTATTTTTAGTAAATTAAATTTTGAAGGAATAATTTACAAACATAAAAAAGTAAAATTAATATATATATATATATATATATATATATATATATATATATATATTAGCCATTTTGATATTTTTGTTCCTTACAATTAAAATTTTTACATTTTTAAAAACCTTTTAATATTCAAAGTTTGGCCACAAAAATTTATGGAATTGACAACTTTGGTCCCTTTTCTAAAAACTTACTAATTCCAACCCCTTTAATTCTTTAGCCATTTTGACACTTTTGGTCCTTACAGTCAAAACTTTTACATTTTTCATAAAAAACACAAAGTTTGCCCGCGGCAAAGCCCGAATTTTTCCGCTAAAAGAGTCAACAAGGAGTTAGGAATAGTGAAATTCACGTTTATTTTATTGTTTTCATCATTGCACTTTCTGTGTCTGTCATTTTCTTCTTTTGGTATTTTTTTTATTCTATATTGGTCCTCATATTTAACTTTTTTGTTTTTTTTCCTGGACAAAACTGCAAATTTGGTCCCTGTGATATTCAAAAAACTTTAGATAGGGTCCAAAAAGTTTTCAACTTGCATGAACCGTCCAAAATCAAGAATTTACTGTAATTTTTGTCCAAAAAAACTTGAAAAGACGGTTTTGCCATTTTATTTTCTTTTTTGTATTTTTTATAATCATTCTAATACTTTTTTACTTAAAAAAAAGAATTATCCCCCACCCCCACCGTTCTCTCTCTCTCTCTCTCTCTCTCTCTCTCTCTCTCTCTCACTCACTCTTCGCCCTCTTCCTCACCTCACCTCACTTCACCTGCAATTTAAACTACATACACACATTGTTTACGAAACATTGAAGCTTCCATGTCACCATGAATCATCAGAATACAATTAGAATAAAAAATATTGACACCTCCTTGGTTCACCTGCATATGAGTTTCATAAACACCACCTGTCGTCTTGATTTGAGATAAGTGACACGAACAAGTAGGCTTTGGGGGCATCAGGCTTGTTCATACCTACTGCTTATCATCAATCGTGGTGGTGAAAATGAAATCTACATTTTATTAATATTCTCTTCATTCACCTGTCTCTTCTTCCTAGGAACATCATCTTCAGAACCAGAAAAGTAGTTAGGAGGATGTCGTACATGAGCAATCAACCAAGAAGAAGAGAAGAGAGATTCAGGAAAGGATAATATTACCTTCCACATTTAGTAATGACGGACACGACATCGAATGTGAGGAATTAAGGTCCAATTGAGGGTTTCCAAGCCCTAATCACACCTTAAGCATCATCGGAACAATTCCGTCATCACAATCAGAGCTTCTAGTCGCCCTCCCTTCTCTCTCTCACACATACTACCGTATACCTGAACACACTCATGAAGTAGTCATCGACGATCATATGCTATGGGTTTCTTCTCTCGCCTCGTTCTAAAGAAGAACCGTCTCTGGATACAGAGCCTTCTTCACCCCTGCTGATGTAATAATTGTTCATGGGTTGCTGTAATAATCACTTCATCTTCTTCAACACATTCATACACATACAACACAATAAACACACACACACACACACAATGATGTAAAACCCAGAAATTGATGATGAAAACCTCACACCCCTGCAAATCTCGATCCAAATGCAGATTCAAATTGAAAGAAAAGCTTGTAGATATGGGTTTCTGAAAAATGGCGGGGGGAAAGAAATAGGAGATGGTGGGATGCTTCATCTTGGGGTAGGCTTCACTTTTGAACTTCTTGTTCTTCAATTTTTTTGCCCACAAACTCTAGTCCGACCCACACCTTTTTCCAGAAATATCACCCTTTTCACATACAACATATCAAAATCGAACACAGACATATAACTGGGTTTGATTTTCTTACTTCTTCCAGATTTTAATAATCATTTCACAACTGGTTCTTGTTTGAAAGCTCATATTAACGAGAATCAGAACAAATTGAGAAAAAGGACGACCAAGAGAAAGAGAGAGGGGGAGAGAGAGAGAGAACGGTGGGGAAATGCCCGAGTTTAATTCTTTAGCCATTTTGACACCTTGGTCCCTTTTCTAAAAACCTTGGTCCCTTTTCTAAAAAGTTGCTAATTCCAACCCATTTAATTCTTTAGCCATTTTGACACCTTTGGTCCTTACAGTCAAAACTTTTACATTTTTTCATAAAAATCACAAAAAATGGCCTGGGGAAATGCCCGAGTTTTTTCGCTAAAAGAGTTAACAACGAGTTAGGAATAGTGAAACTCACATTTTTTCACCGTTTTCATCCTTGCACTTTCTGTGTCTGTAATTTAGCACGGGCAACTGCCTACACTGTCTCATTGTAGGTCCATCCTGACAGGTAGTCCACTGCTCTCCCATCATCTCATGCCGCCTTTTTCCTATTTTTCCATATATATTGTGTTTTAGGACTTATCCACATATTTGAAATAAGGATATAACATGGTTTAAAAGATGTTATAAAAGATGGAGTAGATGAGTGATGTGGCTCTAATGTATATATAATGGTGAAAGATGAAAGATGAATATCCACAACTCACACCCAAACATCTCTTTTATCTATAGATAATGACTGACTCCGTATATGATGGTTTGAGCCATATCATCTTATTACCGCAAAAAATCATTGTTTGGTTGAAACCAAATTAAACTTGCTTAAATTAATTCGGAGTACTATTCTTGGGAATTTATTGCCATATAAGTCGATATAAACTTTCATAATTTCTCTCCTAATAGGCTAATAGGAATCAAATCCTTCAACTTTCATAAGCTTTTAGAAGACTCGACACTATATCTTAAAAAGGGAATTTACATATATCGAAATCCACTAAACTCTTTAGGGGATTTCACGTAAGTGTTCATCAGAGGTTGTATATAACTTTTCCACCCTCAAACACAAAAAAACACAACAATATGAACCTCTATTACCCTCTTGGAAGCTCAATGATACCTATTTCTAATTAAAATAGGACTTTGTATCAATATATCAACTCTCTTAGTGTATAACACTAGCCATGGACACAATATGATAGACCCAAAATAACAATACACCATTATTTATAGTTTGGTCCACTTATGATGCCACATTAGTCGGTTGTGTACCGACCATAACTTGAACATCGTGACTTTTTTTAGTTTATTCAAATCTCCATAAAAGAGGAGTCAATACAAATATCATGTTTTATGTTTGTCCCAATCATGCATCGATTCCCCCCTGCAACATTCATACTATTATTTGTAGTTTTGGGGCTTCATCACCTAATTCAGACCTAATCTTGAGTTTTGGACTGCGATTCAGACGCACAACACCAATTTTGCGCGTAAAAATGTTTTTAATCTTGAGTTTTAGGGCTACGATTCAATTCAGAGAGAGAAAGAATGGATAATCTTAGGTGCATTGGGTGCACATATAACGCCCGGTTCCTAGTATGTATTTTAAATCAATTTATTCATTTTTCTACAGGAACTCGACGAGTTGGAGGCCCCAAACTCGTCGAGTAGGAATGAAATTTGAACGCGGA